TGTTTATATATACACCTGAAGAAATAACAGAAAACAGAATTTGAATTACACGGCAGCCATTAAAAACCAAGTTCAAACACGATGCTCCTGTTTGTGTGTGCCTGCAAAGTGCAATAAAAGTTTGAAAGCACCGAAACCAGATCCAAACACAATGAGATATAAACTCCTCTGCTCATCATGCTTCCCCGATTTAATAACTAAATCAATCCTGTTTTTCTTGTATTTTTTTAACACATAACTTTTGTCTTAATAATTTTTTATAACATTTATAAAGTAAAAAAGAAAAACAGTTTTTATGAATTAAAATTAAAAAAATTGTTTCCTCTTTCACCTTTAAAAATCTTATAGCAATATGGAGCACATACAAGCACGTACATACTACATAAAAAATATTATACTTTTTAGCCAAATAATCAAATTAATGGTAATTACTTAAAATATATAACTAATGATTATATTGTATTAAAATGGTTACTGTTGTTAATTTCTCAATTTAGTGTTTATATCTAGCATACACAAATTGTCTATAGTACCATAAAACATTTTTTTTATTAGTCTTTTTGTCAACAAATCCACTTTTTTTTATTATAAAAGGAAATTGTATAATCCTTGTTATTTATTATATGAAATCTATGTATAAATTTAGTATACTCAATTTGTTTATGGTATCATACAATATTTTTTATTAGTTTTTGTGAATAAGTTTTTTAATTAACATTTTTTATAAAATATAACGGTATAATCTTTCATTTATTTAAAAAAAATAGGATTGATAAGTATCATCATAAATAAATTACTATATTATTTGAGTGAACTAAAATAAAAATTATACGAAATTATATATATATATATATATATATATTAATTGATAAATATTTTTGTTATAGAAATTAATTTAAAATAAAATATAATTAATTTGAATTATGTTAAAATAAAATGTGAGTTATTATTTAAAATAAACAATAATAATTGATGAAATTATATTTAAATAAAATGTGATTAGTAAATCATATGTTATGTTGAAATAAATTGTAAACAATTAATATAAATTAAATTAAATTAAATTTTAACTTTAATCGATAATCACTTGTAAATATTAATATAAATTTTAAACTTTAAACCCTAAATATTAACCTCTTATCCTTTACTAAGTATAAGTGACATAGTTTACATTTTCTAAAACACGCATAAATACTGGAATTTGTTAGAACAAATTAGTTTCATGTTTTATGTTAACTCAAACGTAAACACAAACACTTGAATGTTTCATTAATAAACATGTTTCAATTATAAACATGTTTCAACTATAGACAATCAAACCATGACACGAACATGCATAATATATGCTTTCGATATTTGTTCATGATTTTTGAATGAGATAACTTGGATCATATAGAAACTATTACATTGTCAAACCAAAAATGTATTTTACCAAACATAGTAACAAAGCAATCATGAATTTTCACTCAAATTAAATCCATGCCTGTTTCAAACAAAATTGCAAAGTCATAAATGATACATGATGAAAAGCTAGCACTTATTTTTTCTATGGTGTCATACATGTGCACAGTAAAATAAAACAAGGCTAAAAACATCACATTATATTTATTCAATTAGTTTTCTTCGTGTTTCCAATTACAAGTTGATGAGAGACTTAAACTATCATTTTACTTTTTCATCGTCTCAAATGTAGAAAAAAACAACATACATTCTCATTTAAGTACACACTTGGAAAGAAACGTACCAAAAAAAATTAAACAATAAAATAAGGATTGAAATACAACTAAAAAATCCTTACAACCTAAAAAAACCTACCACACTATTAAAGATTATAATTTAAATACAACTTATTTACAAAATAAATCAAAATGGATTAAATTAGAGGTGAAATCAATTATAAACATATTTTAACTTGTTTTTTATTATTAAAATACAAGTGTTTCGATTTTGTTTGTCTGGTCTCTAAATATATTTATCAAAAGTAATTTCACAATATGCCAATCTACCATAAATAACATCAGTGGCACTTTACTTAGAAAAAAAAAATCCAACATTCACTTATTTATCAATAATAACATAGGTTAAAATAATATAACCAACAAGGTTATATTTCCTTTTATTTGATTTACAAGGAAAATGTTGTTTAAATTGCATTGTATTGTATGTATAAAGAAAATATTGGTTAAAGACAATCTTCTAAATTAGATCATCTAAAACTATGTAGTTTATATGATGACTTTTTTAACTTTCAAACTCTTTTAGAGTGGATATTATAGTGGACTCTTGGTAACAAGTCCATGTATACATCTTCCTCTATATGTCTTTATTGAAAAATGTACTAATAACATGGAGTCATTCCAAAAATCAATTTTATTTATTGTCTTAGACAAAAAAAAAATGAAAAATGAATTTAAGTTTTATAATTAGTGAAAAACTTTATTGGTAAACATATCATTATTCATATATCATTTAACAACTAGTCTTACTTTAAATATTTGATTTATTTGTTTGTACAATTATATATATATATATATATATATATATATATTTATATATATATATATATATATTTTGTCAACTATGTGTTTCACTACAAATATTCATGCTCGAGTGTGTTGTTCCTTTATATAGTGAAACATATTTATAAATAATATTTCTTTAAAAAGATTTCATTTTATCGTTCATTATTTCTATCATTTGAATCCATTAATACATTATGTATATTATATAAGAATTCGTATATTATTTCTAATAACTTTTGCAATGGTATAATTAGTAATACGAGTTTATTTTTAGTCTTGAATAATTTGATATTGTTTATTCAAAATTTCCTTATCAAATTATTACTAATACTTAATAGTTATGTATATATAAAAACATGTATTTTGTATATTTAGTTAACTTTTAAAATATGGATAAACTATTTTCGATATAAATATTGAGAGAAACGAGTCTATTTATATAAAGTTAGTTTTACAATAAAAGTATAAATTATCCTATAAAATGTTTTAACTTTTCAAATCTTAAAACAACAAGAAACCATATTGTTAGTAAATTTCAAAAGTTTGATTATATTTAATATTCTTCAATTTTTTTGAAAAAGCTATAAAAGAAACTAAGTAGAGTGAAAATTCTTCTACAACTGAGTAATAAATTAACAAAATTCCACTTACATTCTCTTTTTCTCTTATTTGATACCATTAAAAACATTATTCTCAATCTCTCATTGTTCTACCTCTTTCACAATGTCAACTTCAATTCATTCTCAATTCTTTATAATTTTAATAATCAGAGGATAAAACCAACATAATCACACAAATTTTAGAATTTGAAAATCCAGTAAGTTTCTTACTTTTTTTCTAAGAATTTACACACTTGTTTGAGTTATTGTGAGAAATGAATTTTCATTATTTCTAAAAAACAATTCTGGTCATTTTTTTTACAAATTTTATATTAATTTTGTAACCAGTGGTGTATACTATATTTAATGTCTGGCTTCATCCAAATGATCATAAAGAGTTAAAAAAAATACCATGTTAACAAGTTTGTTTTTCTTTTTTACGTAGTTGTGATTATAATTGTTATAAAAACTTATTTTTCTTATGATGGTTAAAATTACGTTATAATATAATTGTAATTGATATAAAATTGTAATTACAATCATAAAAAATGTTTTTAAAATTATTTTATTTTCCTTACGATAAATATTTCATTTTATATAAATAAGTTTGTTATATTATCAGAATTACAATTTATTACATTATCTTAACTAATTTTTAGGTAATAAGCTTTTATTTTTTATTTTTTTAAAATACTATAATTGATATACAATTGTAATTACAATCACCATAGGAAATGTTTTTAGAATTATTTTATTTTCCTTACATTAAATATTTCATTTTATATAAATAAGTTTATTAGAGTGTCAGAATTACAATTTATTACATAATATTAACTAATTTTTAGGTAATACGCGTTTAACTTTTATTTTTTAAATATGAATAGCATTTGAATATTTAGTATGTTAATAATTATTGTAGTGAGTCTAAAGAGTTCAACAAAATATTATTTAGCTTTGTAAATATTCAACCTTGGGAAAAATAACATAAAAGCATCTCAGTTATTTCCTACTAGAATGTGGTGTCAAGCGACAAAATTGAATAATATTTAACAAATTTAAGCAATATTGAATTTGCTTGTTTTGGCTATCTTAATTTACATATATAGTCCAATAAAATATTGCATATCCTAGTTTGATTCTTTAATTAAATGAATAAAACTATGTACAATATTAATAAAATAAATTCCTTTTCAACCACCTTTTTAGTATATATAAATTCTTCCAATTTTATTTTTTAAGTAATTATTTTTTAAATTGAAAAGGATAACAAAGTAAATATAATCTATATGCATAAAATTATAAAGATTATTTATTTTTATAATTACTTTTTATAAAACTCTTTTTACAATTTAATTATAAATTTTTATTTTATAAAACTATGGAATTAGTGAAATGGTTGGTACATTGTAATAAAAATTGAGTTAACAACATTGAAAAAATCCAATTTTAAATCATCCAAGTTAACAAGCTGTTATTTGACGTATAATAAAAAAATTGCAGACATGACTGAAAGTAGTTAAGGAATAATTCGATGCCTTTTTATTTACTCAAAACAGATTAGTACTTTCATGCGTATTTTTTAATTCCTTCAACTGCTTACATTATCTAGTGTTTGACTTTGATATTTGATCCTACAATATTTTATAATAATAACTTTACAAGATTGCATGTGACTTGATAATATCATTAAACTTTTCTTGTGAACTAAAATATGCATTCACTTGGATAATATTCGTTAGAATTTACATATACAGAAATTGTTTATGTAATTCTGGTTCACTAATATAAAACTGGATAACCAAGTCACAGAGAACAGTCATATGAAGATGTAGTGAAGTATTTGGAGTTTCTAAGCAATTCACACAGAGCTCAATAACACTGTGCTGCCTTCTCCTGAAGCTTCTTAATAATGGTCACAGGCTCACCATAAAACCCCATTAGCTGCTGCCACTTGTAGCACTCCTGACCCTTTTTCTCTAACTCTATTACACCCATCTTTTTTTAAAAAACATTTAAAATTCCTCAAATTTCTAACTCTACCATCTCTCATTTATAATCTTTGTTCTCTACTCTCATATTCTTTTCCAAAGTCTGTGAGGTGGCTACATATAGTGTATGTTTTCCCATTTTTTCATTAATAATTTTAAGAAAAAAGTAAATAAAAAGAACATAATTTTTTTTTCGTAAGTTAAAATTAATTAGAATAAATTATCTCTCTTTTATTCTTTCTAAATTCCATTTTTAACTTAGTTATACATTAATTTTAGAGTATAGAAAACACTTATTTAATTTTCTTTCTAAAAACCTTAATTAAATAAATCATTACTACCTAAATATTTCGCTTTCATGGTACAGACAGAGGAGAAATAACTTTAAGAAAATAGTGAAATTTGCTAAACTATTTTCTCTCTTATCTACCTCCCTGTCTCTTTTATTTTCTCCTCAACTGAACACAATTAAATTTTGCTTTATTCTCGTATATTTTCACTCTTACTACCTATTTCCATCCAACCTCGCAACCACGAGAGCTGCATCACCAGATGAATTTCAAGCATATTTTTCTTTTTGTGATGCAACATAAACATGTTTGCTTTGAGCATTAAACTTTTTTTCCGGTTTAGGACAACTACTGGATTCTTCAAGATAATGTGTATCCTAAGTACAAAATATAGAAATAGTTAATAAAAAAATCAACCAATAATGGTGGTTGTATAGTCCAACAGAGAATTCACACCATAAAAAGTTACTAATAGACGCATCTATACTCTACCTTAACTCCCAAAGTAGGGCAAAAGTAGTCAAAGAGATGAAGGTTGCAATGCTTACTTATACACCAAAGGAACCACGGTAGCTCCTCGTCATATTGTTGGGCGGGCGGCCTAGACCATGTCGTGGCTACTGGGCCCTTTACCTAGGTGTTATTGTAGATCTCTGTTAAATCTTATACGGATTATATCAATGCTTTAAAAATCGGCCCAGTTATTGAACCAGACAAGATAACTGCAGATGGAAATCTGCGAGGGCTTCAGACAAGTGCTGAAGACAAGGGCTGCACTAGATTGCCAACAGAGGATTAGACCCCTTCCTTGACATGATTCAAAACATGCTTTTTATATGAATAATTTATATTTCCAGGAACAGATATTTCCCAAACATGCTTAGCAACTCATGACTGTATCTGCCTTCCACTTACTCTTACGACTAGGTTATCCGTATCTTCTGATTTTATTTTTTACTTTGAAGATTACGACTAGTCTTTTTATTTGAGATATCTTTTTTTTTTTACGTTGTACCTACCATCAGACGCATACACACTCACAACTTCAACTTTTTATTGGTCATCTCACTAAAACACTACTCTGTTATAACCTAACCTGACAGATAGGCCGAATTATCTTGCACACAACAAACATATTTACATAAGAGGGGAGATTGCTGAGAAGTTTATGACCTAATTACGAAAAAAAAAATAATAAAGACGAAAATTAAGGTAACTGTTTCTTCATGATAATTTAAAGTACACACTCTGGAATTGTCATGATGATTATGAATTAATTTTGGTTCTGGTAGAATGTATTAATTACCCAATAATTATATTTTTCTCATTTTTTCATAAAATTTTTATTTGATCATTGGCCTCCCAAAGTAAAAGAAAAAGAAAATACTTGACTTTCAATGACCTTGACTATATTGCTGAATGAAGTCAAAAACTATGTAATCCAACATATGGGTTAGCTTCAAAGAAGTGAGGAAAACCATGACTTTCTCTCTACAACTATTTCCCAAAGGCAACTCATTGAAACCACTAGTGTATTTCTACAACGTCCGAGTTTTTTACCGATTGTTTCAACCCCATTTAGACGTCAGCAGTTCTCTAAAGTCACAATCCTTAACAGCTTCAACTTATTCGTTAATTACTATCGTTCAACTTCTTTTCAAAGTATTTAATTCCCGATTAACCTTTTTGTTCCCATTACAATCAACTAGGTTTTCCTGCAGTCTGTCTCTATTGAGGAGGTATATGCAACCAGCAAAGGGAGGCATTATCATTACTGTAATCAGCAAATTGACAGAATTATATGACATCTTATTAAGAGGCCAACCCAAGAAGAGCTCTCTTATTTATGGGGGGTAGGGATGGAGATATTGCTTCTCCTAAATAGAGTTCAAGTCACCTAATGTGCCCACCGGGCCACTATTGTAGCAAGACTCACCCTCTCAAGTTTGTGCAAAATAACACGGGTTGTTCGTCCTAGATCATAAAATCTGTATCATTATGAAAATTAAAATAACTAGGGAATATTTTACCAGAGAAGGAAAAAAAAAAATAACAAGAGATATTATTCATTCAATAGATACCTTAAAACAGTCAGCCTAAGGGGCATGCTGTTTTGGGGTTAAGAAGGAATGTGTTAACATAAATTATTAAGATCTGAAATCACGAACCTGAGAATAACACAATGACAGGGTAGAGATTGAAGCCCAGAATCGCCCATCTAGAAGTCTATCTCACCGCTTCAATGAGCGCTCCCAACATTGTGTGATAGAAAGATGGTATAATCTTTAACTAGGTAGAAGCGGTTCTAGGAAATGATAAAAAAATCCAACAACCTCTAAATTAGAAGAATTTTAAATTATTGTCACCATTACCACTACATACTATCTAAATCCAATAAATAGACTTCAGGTTAGTCAATAAAGCCAATGTACCATAGTGGAATATTCTTGGATATTTACGAACGAAATTAATACATCCTTTCCATCTGTCACAAAAGGTTACCCTAAACCTAACGTAATCCTAGTCTCCGATCTCTAGGTCTCAATTAGAAATGGAATTAGAAGTTGAAGCTACATTATTATACTATGTTTCATATTTTAAACTATTTTCCCTTTAAACTGTCTACCACATACTTTGTTAATAATCTTTGCATGCATGATCCCAGGTCCAAATATATGGTAGGCGGTCAAGAGCCAACATAAACGTTGAATGTGCGTCACACGGATCAATAATACAAAGGTTATTAGTCATTTTTTAAGTAAAACATGTATAAAACAACTTTTGTACACCAATTTTACCAGTTTTACCATTATTTACGTATAGGACGCCATGATATGCCAGTCATAATCTCATTATGCCTACTATCCTCTCAAAACAAAATTACAACTCCCAAGTAATGAAGATTAACCAAGAAACAGAGACACTGAAGCACTACAAGGAGTTGGTGTACCAATGACAAGGTTATGTGCTAATAAATCAAAAACCTTAAACCAAATGATGACATCCTCATTGCAAGGATGAACTGCAAAATTGTATTGAGTGATAAAGAACATATAGCTCATAAACACAGTGCTAAAAAATGTGAGGTAATGCTAAAACTATGGTACACATCCTTTTCTACTTCATCCATTAATTAAAATGAAATGTTGCTTCATATACAGAAGTCAGACGGGGGCAAGTTTTAAAATGAATTGTCAGACAGATTTCCTTTGATCATTTACCCTACATTGACAGTTGACTGAAAACAAAGCCAACGAGCTCTTGTACATCAGATGAAACTACAATGTACTAGTTACCACAATCTAACAGAACAAACAGCATCATCCCACCTAGTACAAAAGAATCTTAGTATATGTCTGGATACTGATGAAAATATTGGTCAAAGTAATTCTCCCAGCATTCCTATATTGGGAAAGTTCAAGTGAAGAGCTGACATTACCCCACCCAAAATTTACAATTATGTTGGAACTAAAGAATAAAACTATACATTACATACTTTTGTTATAAGAAATCCAGAACCTAACCAAGGTCAAGGAAGTGAAAGGTGAAAGTCATCAGATCCTCAAATGTTTTGAGGTAAGAGGTACCAAAAAGGCTCTCCTGATTTGGGGAAAAAAGAAGGAAAGTATAGAGAAATGAAATTACTACAGGAAAAAACAAAATTAACGTGATTAATTACTTAATTTTTTTTACATAAAATGTTAAATTTTAAGATGGAGTTTTGCAAAAGGTCACAAGTACATTCAGTTCAGCAATCAGAAAAGGATGTGGCAACCCAAAAAGCGGCAGCAAGGTAATGAATATATTTTCATAATTAATTTTCTAAGTGTTTTATGATGCACTACCTCTTTTGTCTACAGCTTATTTCTTTATCAGTTATTTTCTATTTTAATTAACATAGTTGTATTCTTTCTTTTTTAAAGACAACGTTCTTATCATTCTCACTAAGTTTAATCTCTCTCCATAACATTTTGACCATTTCCCAATGAACTCATTGGATTCTTTCCTCAAACAAAATGACTTCCTTAATCAAGATCTACGGCTAAGGATGTTGATACGTTTTAAACTTAAATTATATAGGTATGGGAGTAACTAATGCTGATTTCACTTGAATTATTTAGAAGAGTAATTTCATGTTGTTTACATTATTTCTATTTTTTCTAACTGCAAAAATAGGAGGGCCTGAGCAATCTTTCATTTCATGCCACACCCAAACAGGCCAGGTCAGTTGCAATCTGGGTTTTTTGCTCCACAGTAAAAATCGGAATCACAAAAAGCAGCAGAACTCCTGAACATTTCAAGTTATGGCCAAGATTCAACAACTCCAGGCATCTGGTCACCAGAACCACACTAGGCTAGAAGTTTGCTAGGGCAGCAAAGTCAAAAAGAATAAGAAGGAAGCAGAACCACACTCTGCCACCTTCGTTTAGCACCATGAGTGCATGCACCTTATACATCATCGAACCCAATGCGTAATACTTATGACACTAGGACTGTGTATGTGGAGAAAATATAGTTTTGTAACCAAGGATCTTTACCTATTTTTCTAAATATAAAAACTAAATGGAATTCGGCTTCTAAAATATAAATTCCATAAAGTATAAATGGCAGGGGTTAGTTTGATATTTGATCCCTTTTTAAGCTGCATAGCAAACAATTAGCTTCCTTAAGATATGCTTAAAAGCTTGTATAATGGAAATTTGAGTGCTAATTAAGGGATAAAAAACAGAAAGACCAAACTGGGCTAGGATATTCAACTACCATTAATCCGCAGAAGTCAATAGGAGGTTTCTATGATGAGACCAAAAAGGGCTACTGTTAGTGTGCTATAGTGCTGTAGAGCTATGGTAGCAGTTGGCAGCTATAGAGCATCTCTTACAAGACATTTTCAAGGTTCTAGAAGTCAAGGCTCAATCACAGGCAATTTGCATGCTATACTGCCTGATGCTTGTTATCTTGAAAAACCACATTCCCCCTGCCGCCGCACAATTCAGCAGAAACAATGTCAGCAAGGAGCCAAACACACAGCCCTCACTGTTTCTCTTCTCTTGTACCCACCTTGACTGGTGACAATGACCACCTCTCCGGCCATTTTCTGGCAACTGCAACATTGCAGCCATCTCTCTTCTCAGACCATTTTCAGTCTTTACTGTTTCCTTCACTTTTGTCATATTTTACCCATATGCTTTGCCTAGGGCATCCTACTTTTTATTGAAAATTATGAATAGATCAAATTTTGAAATTTTTTTAGCATTACATATTTAAATATGTATATAGCAGAGATGGATAATATATCTGTATCGAAAAATAAAATAGCGCCCATCCTACTATAGCGACTTTGGGGTCAGTCACTATCTAGGATTAGTAACTATAGTCAAAAGATTGCAATCCGGAGAAATTGTAATTATCAATAACATGTAAACAACATAAACAACATGAAATGATAGAAAATGCTAACAAAGCACCAAGGTTGAGAGCTATTCCAGTTATGTAATTATCGATTTCAAATTCAAAAGCCAACAAACTTAACTGCCACAGTACTCCAGTTCTGTAAAACATTCCCATAACCATGAAGGCAGCAACCTGAAATAACACGAGTATCATAAATAACCTTTAACATAGGAAAGGACGTTAAATGATAAACATTGATAGATGCAATAATACCATAGTAACATCTTTTGATGCATTGTAGAATATCAAAGTACAGCAAACTGCGAATACTCAATGCTTATTTCCACGACCCTCAAAACCAGTATTGTGTGCCTTGTTTCCGTCATCAACTGTGGGTTGTTCACTGGGTATTCTACAAAAACAAAAGAAACTTGCATCATAAAATAATAGAGGGTTTATCTTCCATATGGAAGTTAATATTTTTCTAGATGTATGCAACAGCATTAATAACAAACCAAAGAATAGCCTACAACTTCTGTTTCTTCGCATTTTGCTTGATTGTCTTAACCATATCCATAGCCATCTTCTGGTGCTCCTTTGTTTGTGAATGCAAGTCCAGACCTTCTACTGTTTCACAGTCAACTTTACATATCCGGCACCACCCCATGGAAGTCTTCCTTCTCCTCAAATTATCAAACGACCTGATATCTCCCTGAAAAGAAAAGACAACAGTAACATAAATAAAACAAAATATTAAAAAATGAACAATCTATTGAATATTGAAGCCAATTCCCCCCAAAACTTTCCATTCTACCTACTCAACTTCATTTTTTAACACTTGCATGGTAATAATTATAAATACAAAAATGAATATAAGTAATCAAAACTTAACTGTTAAAAATCCAGCATCATTAGGAAATCCAGGAAGAGAAAAGCTGCTCCTGAACCCAGGCTCACCAAGTTGTGGATGACCTGACCGGTTGCCTTTAGCAAAAGATTCAAAACTACGAAAACTGCCATGTTCAACTGCTCTCATATGACCAGGATGGGCACCAAAACCAACAGGCTCCCCAAGCTGCAAATGTCTAGGGAAATTATGAGGACCCAAAGGATCACCCCTTCGAAAATGGCCAGCAAACTCATCTTGACCAATGAAATCACCACTCCTTGGATGTTCACCCATTCGGAAATTACCAAAACCATCAAATTCATCTCTACGCAAATGGCTAGGCAAATGAGGAAAACGACTATCACGGAACTCACCACCAAAATGACGAGAAACTCTGCCATCAAAATCATCTATTCCCGACTTACCAACAAGACTACCAGAGTGTGCCCCCAATCTCCGGGAAGACATCTCAGCATATTCACCAACAGGACTTCTAGGAGTCATACCATCCATATGATGTCTCCCATATCCGGGACCTGGTCCAAGATAACCAGGATGAAGCGTAGAACCTGATTTCTTAATGACATCATCATGAATACCAACTGATCTCTTTCCAGATTCATGTGCACTTAGTGGGTAATTCCCAAATTTAGAAATTGACTCAGCATCCAAAGGCAGCCTAGAGAATTTCTTAAGATCGTCATCATACTCTCTTTTGTCAATATTTTGTTGATTTGAAACAAGGAAAGGTTTGAACCTATCATCATGCAAACCAAAACCTTCAGGACCATGTGGTGGTATGTTTGCTGCCATTCGACCATGCATATCTCCAGGAAGTGGTGCACCAAATTGAGGCCCTCCAAGACGAGACAAATTGGAAGTTCCAGCACGGAAAGGAGGCTCATGGACCTGGTTAAATGGTTGCGGAGGTCCAAGAGACTGAGGTTGAAAGCTCCTTCCAGGGGTAATGTCAGAATCTTGTGGTTGCTTAAACATGGTTGGTGGAAAACTCTCTGCTAAGGGCTGTCCTGTGTGGGGATCATGGGCAGATCCATGATTCCTGACAAGGGCTGAAGAGTGCAATGAAGAGAGTGGCTGGTTTGGAATTGTTGGGTGTGGCAATTGCGAACCTAACATTGCAGAAGATCTCTGCTGGACGGAAGGCCCATAATTAGTCATTGGTTGTTGATGCTTACTCTGGTCTGTGAAAGCGGCAGAGTGAGACAGCTGAGCAAAACCACCATTGCTTTGAGTGTTAGATGCTGCAGAATTGTCATCATTTTGTAATTTATCAGTTTCTGACTCGGGTAGTTTTGTCTCTGTCTTTGGTGGATGTCCTTCTTGAAACTCATTGCCTTGGACAGAATGTTCATTAGTGTCATTTGGAACCCCGTGCATTGCACCACCAGATTTAGTACTAACTGAAGGCTTCCAAGTGCTTTCAGCAGCTGCCCCCATCCCAAGATTCTTATTCACAGAATCACCATTTTCTACTGCATTGGCATTTGGGACTGAAGTCTTAATAGAGTGTGGATCTTCATTATTTAGGATGTTCCCAACCTCTGCTGGTTTCAAATTTGCTTCGAATTTTTCAGATTTCAATTCATTTGTTGATCCAGACACCGAGTCCAAATCTTTAAAACTTTTACCCAGTTTACCAGCGGCAGAGTCAATTTGTTGTTCAACAACATCACCATGTCTTTCAATTGTTTCTGGTGCCCTAGACTGCAACTCAGAAGGCAACTGTACTTGATTATTGGTACCAGCCAACAATTTCTGATTTTCAAGCAAGTAGCCAGCACCATTTTGCCCATGTCTAACTGGAATAGTATTGGAAGATTGAGCAAATGGCTGTAGATGTCCCGCATGGTTAGGCACTAAAGGCCTTCCTCCAGCATTTTGAGATTGATTCTGCTGAATGTTATTTGATGGTGCAATATTACCCTGTGGCTGTGGATACACATGTTTGGCAAATGAATGTGCTGGACCGGGTGGCCGTAAATGTGATGGCATAGGCATTTGGTGCTGTGCAAATGCTTGCTGTTGAGGTATCTGTTGAACCGGTTGCAGAGTAGGACGTTGGTTAATTTGTCCGGGTTGTTGATTGTGGGAATATACAGGCTGTTGTTGCAAAGGAGGGGTAGTTTGGCCCTGAACAGATGATTGCTGATTAGGAAACATGGCATGAGATTGATTAGGACGCATGGTTGGAATTTGTGGAGGAAACTGATTTTGCATCTGAACAGGGTGTTGAGCATGGGGTTGGGGCCCACTTTGAGGATGCCCGTGCATAGGATGTTGAGGAACTCCTGGTTGCATATTTGGGTGAGGCAGAGGTTGCGGATAAGAGTGATGTCCCGTCACTGAAGGTGTTGCTGCATTTTGCACTTGAGGCTGGACATTCGGTGTCACAGGATGAGGAGGAGGCATTGGGAGCTGAGAGGGATGTTGAACTGGAGCATTAGGTTGCAGCTGTGCGTGAACTTGAGATTGAGGAACAGGATACTTCTGAATTGGTTGCTGAATTTGAGGTTGTGAATGTTGCATTTGAGGAAGAGGCTGCTGATATGGAGGAATTTGCATAGGCTGTTGAGGTTGAGGTTGGACAGAATGAAGCTGAACTTGTGGGTATGGATAGGGCTGAGTCTGAGATTGAGGGAGGGAATGACCAGGAGCATGACTCGTCTGTCCATGTGGCTGCACAGCAGGTTGAAGTTGCTGAGGTTGTTGCTGAACTTGCATCTGATTCTGAGATGGTGGGACAACCGGAGCCTGAATATGTGAAAGTGGTTGAGATTGAGCCTGAGGTTGTTGTTGGAGTTGAGGCTGCTGTGATTGGTGTTGGGCCTGTGGCTGGGGCTGAGGCTGAAGCTGGGCCTGGGGCTGTGATTGTGACTGAGGTTGGGGTTGACTATAGGCCTGCTGGTACTGTGGAACCATGGACTGTTGATAGGGATAGTAATGTTGATACTGCTGTTGGTATGGATCTTGTCCAGGGTATTGTTGGTAGTATTGTTGATACTGTTGCTGCTGATACCACTGCTCTGCCGTTGGCTGCCCAGCAGTTTGAACTAAAGCTTGTGTTTGGGGTGTAAGATTGGGTTGCTGACTAGAAACCTGCCCAGGCGTGGTAGTTGAAACAGCAGCTTGTGCAGTAGTTGCTGCAACGGGAGCAGCATTCTGGTTCTGATCAGTAGAAGCAACGACACTAGTAGTTGAAGGATCCTGGGTAGTGGTCACCTGTTGTGCCTGACCTTGCACACCCTGCCAATCAACAAACATAAGCAACATACTGCCAAAAATAAACGGCAGAAATAATTGTTATAGTGTAATTAAATGGAACGTACAGGGCAATTTTGTGCATGTTCTTGTACTTGGCGATGCACTATTTGGATCCCACACCTATTGCAAACTACGGGGGAATTGCCAAAAGCACATCCAGAACAATGGGATGTGCACTCAGACAAAGTTCCCTGCCATGTGCATCCACTCCTATGGTAAAGGCAGTGAACCGTGATTTTTCCAATAGTTTCAGCAAGTGTTTTATTTGACTCTGTCAGAGGCTGCAATTAAGACAAACAAATACACATTCATACATGCACAGGAAAAAATTTATTGCACTTGAGCACTTTGGAATGAATAGGAAAAGAACCTTGGAATCTGCCTCAGTGACCAAGTAACCATCATATGGGCAAGCCTTTGTGGTGCTCACAACGTATGTCAAACATGGCTTGCAGTATAAATGAGTACATTGTGACTGCAAAGCCTCATTTGGAAATACAAGCAGCCGACACACAGGACAGAAGTACTCTCCGGCAAGAGATTGAATGTTCACTATGCACTCGTTATCAAATCCCATGCTAACCTATATTCACGGCTTCAGCTCTAGGCCCGCATAAAACCTAAACACAGTTATAGAGTTTTTTAATACTTCCAACTTAAGAAGTATGAATACAACACAAGACAAGAATGCAATATGACATAAAAATGGAGATATGACCTTAAACAGGGGGACTATACACAGTTATAATACAAAGTTCATAAAGCTAGTTAAAAATAATATAAAATATAACTTCTAAATCATAAAACTATAATTCGTGTCATGAAATGGCAAAATGCATGAATCTATTATAATGTTTAAATCTGTATAGCTATAAAAGTTCAAAAAGATATAGTAAACAACGATAAAATTACAGTTAAAAAAAATTCCAAGTGTCCGCTAGTGCAATGTTCAACACGGATATGTGGCAGATTACTGCACAACACTTCCACCACAATCTTCAAATTTTTCAAACAATACACAGAATGAAATGTGGCCGATAGTGGGTTACCAGATATAAAAAAAGGGCGTTATTATCACTGTTAAACATCACAAATGAAGAAAAAAACGGTTAGACATTTAGATAAACACGTAAAAGGATAAGCAAAGGGAATTGGCACAATGCATTAGCATGTCAACAAAAACAGGAAACTAATCCAATATGTGATGAATCTACCGAATTATCAAGAACGCAAACATGATTGTTAAGCATATAATACAGATTCCGGCGCAGGGGGGGAGGTCATGGAGATTCTGCTCTAAACTAGGAATTAAATTAAAAAAATAAAACCTAGAAGTCCTCGTTCGGTAAATATTCGGTACCCGAATTCTTGCTAGCAAGTCGGATTGGATTCGAAAATGAAAACCCCACGGAGCTGAAACCTGTAGCGGAAACCAAAAAATGCACAAAAACAGTTATAGGAGATCGTGCTATGTGATAGATGAAAGTGAAAACGGAAGAAGAATGAGTAACTTGAAAACGGAAGGGTCAGGTAGGTAAAGCACAGGGACAGAGATTGCGTGAGTTTCTTGGGAGAGAGATAGAGAGAGCGCGAGCGGTGCGAACGGAAGAAAGAAAGTATAATGCGTATGCGATTTGTATTTATAAGTGGAGGATGATGCGATTAAGGGTATGCTAGCACCAGTACCACCCCTAACTACGGCGTTGCCTCTTTTCAGTTCTCCTATGCTCTTTATTTTGTGGGTTTTTTCCCTCCTTTATATTTAGGTCTTGTTCGGTGAGACTGTATAAAATAATTTTATCACATTGTTAATCTAATATTTATTGGACAATTAAATGTTGTTTTTCAGATTGTCTTTAATTATTTATTGAAGTATTTTTTATTGAATTGAGTAATTGAGTTAAAAGTTAAAGAGAATACATTAAATCTTTTGTTTTTTTTTTCAACTTTTCAACATTTGAAATCACAGAATAAAATTAACTCACTCTTTGTACATTATACAACTTTTTCCTTAAATATTTGTTTCTTTATGACATTAAACATGTTTTTAAGCTTTGATATAAAATTATTATTCGTTTTTATCTAAGATTAATAGAGTTTGTTTATACGAGAGTTAAAGTTTTAGTAGCAGTAAAATTATAAGAAACAAGTATTATCGACGGTTAAAGTATGTTGAAAGTGTTAAAATTCATTGATAATGTTTTTTTTACAGATTATTGACGAACAAAAATTTATCAGTAAATATAATAAAAATTAGTCGTTAATTATTAATAGAAAAGTTCGTTGATAAATCTGTCAGTAAATTCGGTAATCTTGTTTACCTTTTTCCTCTTTCCCATTCTTCCTTTTCCCCTTATTTGTTGCAATCCACAAAAATGAACACGTTACAAACAAATGTCATACATATTCATACAATTTTGCGCACAAAATTTCATCATCCCACTTTTATTCATTATCTTGCTTTCCTTTGTTTCCCATTACAGCAATTTTATACAAATTCGCACAATTTTATAATATTCACAAAATTATAGTCAACCTAACAAATTACTTCACTACAAACATAAATAAAAAAAAGAGATAAAACATAAGAAAGATAATAAGGGGGTTTGTTTGGCTTTAAGTCCATCATTGTCTAGTAACAATGCACAATGATGACATTTTGTGGTACAACAACATTGGCTTGGACGCGCCCTTGCATGAAAGAGGAAGAATAAAGACAATATCCCTCTCTTCCATGGGTTAGAGAATAAGAAGATAAAGTGCAAGACCCTAAGCTCGACGACATAATTGGTGACATAAGGATTACAAACAGATTTATCGACAATTTTTTCTGTTGGTAAATGAAATATGTATTATCAATAGACATATCTGTCAGTAATTCAAATCTACTGACGAATTTCTTTTCATTGGTAAAATTTCACCGATAATTTCAAAAGTTTTTGTAGTTTTTCATCAAAGGTTTTTACACATTAAGCAAAGGAAAATAATTATACTACGTGTATGTTCTGGCTGAAATGATACAATATTGTTTATTGAGTAATTGTGTATATTTAATTGATATGTTACGCGGTTGAGTTTAACATTAGATTTTGTGTTGATTGTGTGTGAATGATTTTAGTAACAAATAAATTTATTTTCATAACGAGTGAATTTGCTTAATGTTTGGTTAATTGAGGTTTTATAAGCTTAGTATGAGTTAACCAATGTGCAATTTATGCAAGAAAATAATAAATTAACTTAAAAAAAAAAAACTAAATTGGCGAACATGACTTATTTAGGTAAAACCTAAAATTAAAATATAATGAGCTCCAGAGTTTTGGAACACTCGAGCCCAACTACAAATTTAATTACAAGGAACAACGGGTGTTAGCTCAGTTTCATTAAGCTACATGATAAATTGTTGAACATTGGTTTAGTAGTGTAGGCTCTAGTTGGAATATGTCTTTCTAACCTTTTTTTTTTTCATTTGGTACAATTTGTAGTATATAAACACGAATTGACACGTAATATGTCGTTAATAATTTGACCAGTATGAAAAAAAATTAAATGAAACCTGAAATTACACTTGAAAGAACCAAAATGAATATTTTTCAAAATTGAAAATCATTTAGAACAAAATATACCAAGATCAAAAATATATTTAAACCTTAAACATATTCGTCTAAATATTTCATACCAAAAATATAATTTTCAATAAATTTAGAAAATGCTCAACTGAACATTAAAAAAAAGACATTTATGTGTGAAGTGAAGCAAAATTTATTAAAATTATCCTAAAAATATAATTAATTAAATTTGAAATAATTTAAAATATTAGTTTTTATTATTGAATTTTGTTATTAATACCTCATCCAATAGTTTCATCCATTTTTCGAAATATTTTTTAAGAATAAGATAGTTTTAGTTTTCAAAACGAACAATATTTCTTAAATGCTTTACTCAAAGTGTAATTTAATTTTATTATCTCACATTTATTTACATTTTAAAAACTTATATATATATATATATATATATATATATATATATAATTTTTTGGTTTAATAGCCAATTTAGTCCTCACTTTGGTTGAAAAATCTCAATTTAGTCCCTCGTTATAAAAGTGTTTT